GAGTTGAGCTGACAAGCTGACAAGGCTGAGTTGGAATGAAATGGTGCCCCGGTAGCGTAACTGGTAGCGCACTTGCCCGGAAAGCGAGAGGTGCGGGTTCTAGTCCCGCCTGGGGCGAAAGTTTTGTTCACAACCCAGCATTCTTGTGAAACATTCGCAAGGCGAACTGCGGCCAAAAACAGCAGTTAACAAACAAAAACAGTTATTGACGATTCTAGCGAAAACTTCACGAAGCGCAGAATAGAAGGAGTCAGAGAATTCACGTTTTTGAGACCTTTCTCCGTTCAGCAGCAGTGAAAATTGTGGAGTTGGAGGGCGTCAACAGCTTCCAGTATGAAATATTATAGAAAAGAGCCAAGATGGTAAGGGTGGTGGGGATGGGGTCGCAATAGGGGATATCCCTGAAACTGGTGATGCTATGGGGGGTCGTATCGAGACTTGAAATTTTTGAAAATAATGCGTTGTATCTATCTATAATAGTATCTGTATCTTGAATAACGAGCCACTTTGGGCTGCACCCCCTTGTACTTTACCAATCCATTTCAGGGTCACCTAACATTTCAAAGACAAGAATAAGAAATAGATAGATTTTTCGAAATAAGAATATCTCTGAATCTTGCATTCCAGATACACGCCAGAAGGTCGGGTGCTTATCAACGGCATGCCAGAGACACAGGAATCGCCCGATGATATGTGGCGTTCGCTGATATGTAAAGCGATCACTACCAGGGTTATGAAGGACGTGGAACCACAGCAATCCGGTGAGAAAGTGCAAATAGACAAGAGAGATGAGTGAGATCTGTAACCCCGAGACATAGTGTGACGTGCAAAGGTTTAGGTCCTCTGGCCGTTATACGTCGGTTCTCATCACGTCTCGGATATCGCAACCCACGCCGTTACGAGAAGGAAACCGAGAAAAATGAAGGTAGTCGTGAAACCAACGAAGATGGCGAAAATGGCGAGAGTGGCAAGGATGGTGAAAATGGCGAGGATGTTAAGAAGAAAGAGAAGCACGTTACTATAATCAGAGTGAAAACAATGCGTCGGAAAGATAGCGAAGATGACAAAGAGCACAACGGTGATGAGAGCGATGAGGTTTGTCTTTTGTTGAAGAGGAATGCAATAAGCAAACTCGCGAATTCAAAATATTCTTCTTGAGAACAACTTCATTTCCGTAGAAGGCGTAGGCTCCGAGTTCAACAGGGACGGTAGTAAAGTGCCCTAGACTGGCAATCAAATGTGGTGATTTACACCCATTGGCGAGGAATAGAGAACGTGGAAACATGGACATGACCCTAGTTGAAACCGCCAGCCTCGCCACACGACCTGCAAAACTTGCGCCCTCTCGGACTTGAGCCCTGGATGGTAGGCTCATAGCCGGGTTTTTGCCACTGCACCAGGGATCACTCGACCACGCCACTGGAAGGGATGTTGATGAAAGTTGAGTTTGATGAGTTTGATGAAGTGATGGTGAGCATCCACCACGTTGCTTGCAAAAGTCGCGTCACACACGGGTTTGAACCTTCGGTGCACCGTCCCATGAGCGGCATCGCTACCACTGCACTATGGAGCCCTTCTTATCGACGGTGAAAGAGTTGTAGAGGAAAAGGCAATAACCCACAAAAGTTGCAAAGATTTTGACATCTAGTAGTATCGATCCCGTGACCGGCTCAACACCAACGTGGACCGCAGGCGCTACACCATTGACGAATCAATGCAAGTTGCTTCCCTTTCCCTTTTCAACTTACTGCTTTGACCCACACAGCCTGGCTGTTTGGAGATGGCCATCTCTAAAAAGTCCTCCGGAGGACTTTTTAGAGATGAAGTGGCAGCATGTTTGCGCCCTCCACCGCGCGCGCACTATTTCCTTTTCCTCTGCCGCCATCGCTGTTAGTTTATGGAAATGACCACCCTGCTAATCCTCTTACTAGCAACGTGATGTCATCACCCTAACTTCCAAG